TTTTGCCATAATCTCATGAATTAGGTTACCACCTGAACCAGGTGATGCAAAATGTTATTATCCATATTTGTCTACAACTTCCATTTATTTATTGATCTAATCAGTCCATGTGGTGATATGGCTACCAGTCATGTTGAAAACTACAACCGACACAAGTTCATGTTCTGAAAAATATCACAACCAATGTGCAGTCAGGAGTTAGAGCCAAAACAACATTTATGAATTAATAAGAGCAGGTCACATGTATGATCTGTTCATCACTCTTCAAGATAGTCCCCTTTACCAAAATTTATCATGGAAGATTAAATATTTTTTCTTGAAGCAAAGATAAATAACAGCTTCTCTTGTTCTGCTCTTCATATTCAATCTTTGTCAATCTTTATCACTGCCCCCAACACAAGTCTAGTTCATTCATGAATTCCAGAAATGTTTATGGAAACCGCATGTCAGACACTGTGCTAAAGACTGTATTTGAAGATGATTTTGCAAATACACACGAAGATAACTGTATTTAGGAGAGAGAGGTGAGTCTTCCTGGCTATGCTTCACTTCAAGTCACAGTTATCTTCATATGTATTTGCAGAACCATTTGCTCATCAGATATTCCAACACCAGTACTGGGTAGTGTCTGCCCAGTGCTTCTGCCATAACAGTTCATTTTCCTTGACTGAGTTTTTGTGACTTTCCTTGTAGACAACCTAAGTGGCTTCCATGGCCGTGTGGATAACACCCAGAGCTCTTCACCACGGTGCCAATGAAATCATTGAGGTATTTGAGTTGCTCATGACAGAAACACATGCTATATTGAGTTACGCAGAAGAGTGAATGCATTTGCCTATTTTGCCAGAAAGGGCAAGGGTGTAGTAACAGGGGATGGGAACAAGCTTGACGCTGCCAAGATTCGTTATGACTCTGTTTCTGCTTTTTTTTGAGCATCAGCTTCACTCTCTCCTCTTGCTTTTTCCACCAGACCCAATCATGTGTTGGCAACTCTAAGCTCATATGCTTGAGAATTCCTAGGGAAGGGCTCCAAGTTGCCTAACTTATGACACTAGACCCAAACTTGCACCAGCCCATCCTGGTGACTCACCACCCCGGTGACTAAGGTGCAGCCTGCAAAAATGGCCACCGGCAATCCCTATGGATAGACCAGTTTCTGTATACTGCATAGAACCCATCTATTTTCTTTTTACAAGCATTCCCATATAAACTTCAGGAAGAGACAGAGCTCCTCATTTCGTCTAGAGATGAAACTCCCACAGCTCACTTGCAGTTGCTCTTGACCCTTCTTGACATCTATATACTTGTATCCCATGACCATATTTTTCTACTTCCTTTTAAAAATTTTATATCTCCATGTGCAGAGAGTGTAGCATGCATGATATTGTACCCTACTTGAAGGCATGGATTGGTATAATTAAAATGGGAGTATGGATTTATCTGCTCACTCCACTCACCTGTGGAATCTAACGAGCAGTAAGATACAACCTTTAATTCAAAGTGCAGAAACTACCTTTATGTTGACCTATTCTTTATGTAATTTGAGAAGAGTAAAAATTACTGAGACCAGCTCTAGAAAACTTGTTTGATTATTCAAGCACATTTGATGTTTGTGGACATTATTTTTATCCATTAACTAATGCACATATTGTAAATGCACTAGCGATACATATTGTAACTGTGTTTACCTTTGTTTGAGACTCATGCTTTAATCTTTAGAATCAAACAACAACAACAGAATCCTCTTACTCTATCACAGACCCAGGTGTATCAGTTGTTTCATTGATAAACGCTTTTAACTAAAAATACTCAACTATACAATAATCAAATGATCTTTCAGTAGTAGACAGATAATACCTTTTGGTCATCACTTGTCTGACATGGCTCTTGACACAGAAGACCTTCCGGGTCTGAATGCCCACACCACATGTAGCTTCTCCATTCCAGCCAATGGTTGCATTAAGGGCAGTTACCAATGTGTCTTCAGAACAGGGGCCCCATGGTGATGTCTCCCAGTAAAGCTGCATACAGGAATGGTCATTGCATAAACGATATTCTTGGAGGGCCTGACTAGGGGGACATGGTTTGCCACCTGCAAAAAATAAAATCAAAGAGAATACATAGTTGTTGCTATTGTTGTTATTGTTGTTCTTGTTTTTGGTATATTTGCATTTAAATTACAAAATTAATTGACACTACTGCCTACCTCTGGGGAATGTATCTCTTAAGACAAACTCCAACGAAATCTGCTTTTAAAAGAAATTTTTCTATGCCTACATATAATTAATTAGTCCATGGCTTTGAAGCGATATCACATTGAACACAGACACACACACACGCACTCACACACACACTCTACTTATACACGGTCTTCCTTTTTTAAAAGAAGCATTATTTTTCTCAGAAAGCCATTTTAAGACACCTATCCTGCATCAAGCAGTGCATTTTACTGCAACTTGAGAAATCCAGAAATATCTATTAAAGTTTGGCAGGAGAGAGCCTGTCCTTAAACTCTGAAATAATACCTGGTGATGTGCTATCCGCTGGCAGG